CCGAGTCTCATGTCCCTGATTGGGCTCCAAGTTTGTAGTCTTTTATGGTCAAACCCCTTTCTTAGGATCAGTCTAGCCAAGACTGTCTTTAAAATTCTCAGCCGGCCATCGTACCCATGAATATCGAGAAAAAGCCCCAAAAGAGATTACCTTTTCAGAAAGAAACTCAAGGAGAGGCGGAAGAAGAAGGTGATCGACGATGGTTGCCAGAGACTTTGCATCCATACGGTCAGTGGTCCTCATCAAACTCGTTTGAATGGCTTCCGCATGGAAATGATCCTTTGCGATGTTCAGGTCGATTCTACATGACCTGGCTGTTCCTGGTGACTAGCGCCTTCCTCTACAATGCGTATTGCATTCCACTAAGAAGCTCGTACCCTTACCAGACTAAGTCGAATCTGCTCTACTGGCTGATACTGGACTACACATGTGATATCATCTACTTCATCGACATGGTTCTTATAAAGCCAAGGCTCAGATTTATGAAAGGAGGGATATCAGTGGTGAGTTGGTGGAAATCCAATGGAATATTGATCAAACCATTCGATGCTGATAGCCAGTACACATGTCTCCTTGACTACACTTTCTCTAACAGTTCATGCCAATTCTGCTTTGATCACCTCTGCCATATCACCACTTTTTACAGAAAGCACGCGATGAGACCCTGAAGCACTACCTGATGAGTTCCGTGTTCAAACTCGATCTCTTTGCAATGATACCTACCGACTTCATTTACATCTACAGCGGCCCCACACCAATCTGGAGATTGAACAAATTGACCAAGGTAGGCATTTTATTATTTTTTACAAATATATCAATGGAGCCAACTGAGGTTCTTTTAATACTTCGATTCCATCGCCTCATCCTTTATCTTTCTATCTTTTATCTATCTATCTTTTATCCTTTAACTTTAATTCTTCGGATTCGATCGCCTCTGCGTATGGGCGATATTCCTCAGTTATTGATCTTGAGCTTTTCTGGGAAGAGTTTCTGACAACACGAAGGATCGAAAAAATGAACCGAATTCTGAACATTATGGAAACTATATCGGCAAAGATATCGATAGGATAATAGAGTGGAAAACAGAATGTGGAGTATTTTCGATGAAAGAGCCCGTCCAACTTTTGAGTTGCAGTTAATCATTGCTTTCGGAGGCAATATTCGACGTTCCTACTCTTTCCGGAATATTTGAAGGATTTTACAGAAATTCAAAATGCGATGAGAATGATAGAGCAAATTGCCGAGTGCTTCGGATCAAATTTATCAAATATAGGAGTAGTACTAGCAATCAAGTTACAGAGTAGTTTTCCCTTGAAAAAATGTATTAGGTTGTCGGAAAAGTATTTGC